GACCAATTGATTATAAAAAGGGAGTAACATTCAGGGGCAGACAAATTTACGAAACTTTTCAGGCAAGCCCTCTGAATTTGCGGTAAAGATGAATCACACAACGGTACAACCTCAGTGATTATCGCTTCCTACTGAGGAAAGAGGATAGCTGTGCCGAGAAAAGATAGTGACTAGGAACAAAGAGGCACAACCGCTAGGAAAACTAGGTCTGTTTTTACTGAGTCGGGGCACTTTAAGTAAACTTCTCAGAGAAGATAAATCTTGTCTCACTGCAAAGCTGTATCGTAAATTGCAGATATTTCTTGTGGGAAAATGAGAAGAGAATGAAAAAGAGAACCACAATGAAGATTTTCAATTTTCGCTGGAATCCAACTGATAATACTCAACTTCATGCGCTCGTCTTGGTCCTCTTTGCCCACGTTCAAGCACACACCGAGCGTTAACGTGGATAATTCTAACAATGATTTGCCTTTTCGATTACAATTTTGCCAGCAAAGATGTATCCAAAAAGTGACTGAAATGGAACTAAAAGATCAGACTACACCTTCAATTTTGCCAGCAAAGATGTATCCAAAAAGTGACTGAAATGGAACTAAACGATCAGACTACACCTTCACACGGAACTAAAAGTGTTATTCATGCGAAGATAAGTTTTTTGCTAATTCTCTGTCGACCGTCGGAGAAAATCATAATTATATTGTCTTACAATTGACTGTTGTCACTGGGATCGAGTCGACACTATGACCGGCCGATTTTACCATTAACATTCCTGTAAGTTCTCACTTCTTTTACATACGTCTTCTTTATTAAGTCCCTCCCCCCCTCCCCCTTCTCTAACACGTCCGTCGAAAACTTCAAGTTCCTGACAAGCCTTCCTCTCCGGGAAGCCCTTCCCTTTCCAATTGACTCCTTTCGTTTTCTTTCCCTGAACAAAATCTCAGAAAAGCAAGGGTATTTCAGCTAATTTGCGTTTATTATAGAATATCTGTGTACCTGAAAGCCTTCATAAGTCTCCGTATTTAGTGTTATAGCTTTTCTGGCAAAGGAATGCATGTTGCGTGTGGTATTTATTAATTTATCTGGCTAACTTTTCAAAGGAAATATCCAGAATCTCATCTCTCTAACAAACTTCCCTCTCCAATAAGCCCCCATCTCTAACAAACTTCCCTCTCCAATAAGCCCCCATCTCTAACAAACTTTCCTCTCCAATAAGCCTCTGTCTCTAACAAACTTCCTTCTCCAATAAGCCCCCGTCTCTAACAAACTTCTTTCTCCAATAAGCCCCCATCTCTGACAAACTTCCTTCTGGAATAAGCCCCCATCACTAACAAACTTCCCTCTCCAATAAGCCTCTGTCTCTAACAAACTTCCCTCTCCAATAAGCCCCCGTCTCTAACAAACTTCCCTCTCCAATAAGCCCCCATCTCTAACAAACTTCCTTCTCCAATAAGCCCCCATCTCTGACAAACTTCCCTCTCCAATCAGCCCCCATCTCTAACAAACTTCGCTCTCCAATAAACCCCCGTCTCTAACAAACTTCCCTCTCCAATAAGCCCCCGTCTCTAACAAACTTTCCTCTCCAATAAGCCCCCGTCCATAACAAGCGTCCCTCTACAATAAGCCCCCCGGCTAATAAGTCCCCGACTCTAACCAACCCCTTTCCAAAAGACCCCTTGGTGTAGGAGCCCTGGGAATTGGTAAGCCCCCGGGGGCTTTTGAGAGACTTATTGGTAAGCAGGATGTTTGTCACAAGAACCAGAATGCGGAATCATCCATACTGAAAAGTCAATCGTTTAAGTGAATCGAGTTCAGTGAGACCAAAGGACCCAGAAGTCTTTTCATTTTACGAAACGAACCTACATATTCGAAGGAAAATTCTTAGCGGGAACGACTATTTGAATGAAACTTTTTTACTGTACTTCGACCTTTGTCAAACAGATCCTTCAAATGGTATTACAATATATCCTCCAAAATTGCTTATTTAATGGACCAAATTATGTCCATGTAGCTCACATTTTGAGCCTAAAACTATCCCATGCAAAGCACACCTACTTTGCTCCCATCGTATTTGCATGAAGCTCTTTCACTTTTGTCAATCTTTGATAGAATACACATATAAGTACTGAGGTCTTAAACTTATCAATAACTGGTCAATGATCAAATATTTCGACAAAAGAAAGGCATAAAACGTTCACGGCTAGGCATAAATAGGTTGTCCTCGGCAACTTTTGAGCAACTTTTAATCTTAGCGTTTTGAGCAACTCTTTTTCCCAGCAACCTAAGGCAACTTTTGCCTTCCTAGGCAACTTTTGAGCAACAAATTGATATAAAACCGATCCAAACCGTAAAAGGTCGTTTCATTTCGAAGGATTTTATTAAAACTGGTTTTATCAAAACTGATTTTATTAAAACTAAGGATATGCAATAAAATGACAATAAAATAACACTTGCATTACGCCCACGAAATCTGGACAGCAGCTATCTATCTAACGGGCGCTTAAATCCAGCGGTTATTCGCTGTAACATAGAGCCTGCCGCTGGCCATCTTGGGTATTTGCCGAGAGTCATTATCATGGCATCGCAATCAGATGAAATTTCAGACGAAGAAAATAGAAATAAGTCAACAATATCATGGTGTATATGATATGATGTATATATAGTTAACATTATGATGCCCATCCAAGTAAACTTTGCAAGGTTGACTAGTTAGAAACTTTAAGTAGAAAATACGTATCTATTGAAGTTATGTTGAGTTTAAAGAGTATATTGATTACAACATAGTATTTATATTTGTCTTATGACAATGGCTTTTGGCCTCTTTTAATGATTGTAAGAATATTTAATGAAAATGTTTAAAGGGCAATAAACAAACAAACACGTTTTGAGTATTTTTCTAAAACAAAACGACACTAGAGAGCAAGCAACTTTTCTAAATTGTGGTGGCAACTTTTTGATATTTGAGCACCTTTTGGGTATATTGTAAAGCAAGTTTTCCCGAATTTACTAGCACAATCTATACATGCCTATTCACGGCTTGTAATTATTGCGCAATCTCCAAGGACCTTAGCTACTCTGTGTCAAGCGGACACAATACTGAACGCCTTCGCTGGAAAAACGAATTTTACCCAGTTATTATTTTCCTTTACAACGTGCTATCGTGATTTTCGTCCCAGAGCTCCTCCCACTTTTGAAGAGGAAAGTATCATGCGCATGCTCGCCACGTCTGCAATGACTTTTAGTCAACCGCCAGAGAGCATTCTGACTGAGTTTGTGCACCTGTTTCCAATCGATCATTTCTACTGATTTTGTTAGTCAGTATGTTTTGACGATTCCCCTCTCCGCGAACCCAAAACCATGTTTCCGTTACTCACTTTGGTCGGACGAAACACCAAAAAAAAAAGTAATATCAAGATCCTTCGGAACCGCTCTAAACTTGAACTAATTTCGAGATCCTTCGGAACAGTTCTCTAAAACACTCTGCTAGTGAACTATAACTATACAATGACTATTAATCGGGGACAAGATTATTCGACAGTGTGTCACCAGGTCGCATACTCCTGCGACAACAAAAGTTGTTACGGAATTGCCTTTTTTAGAAGTTTTGAACACCTACCGCACAGTTTTTGTTGTCAAAGTCATTTCAAAACAGTTCCTTAAACTGTAGTGAATCATGACTGTTGAAAAATACCTTGTCCGTTCAGATCAAAGCCCTAGTAAGGGAACATACTTAATGTACTATTAAAAGATATTTGCATGCGAACATTTTGAGACTAATTCCGTAACTGGAACCGCATTTCTACAGGAAAGTGGAGACACGCATGAAAACATGGCGGGGGAGCTTGGAAACCACTTTCGGCTTGGAAATAAATGAAATATGTAACAAATCCTATCCACAGAATGATTCTATATGAGACAAATTACGCGCATGATCAAATCGCGCATGTGATAGTCTTTATACGCCGCAAACTCAGGGTTCAAATAAGCCATATACCATTATTTACCTCATACACGACCAACATTATCAGAACTCAGGAGGCTGAGCATGCCAACTGAAACTTTCCACTCCGAGATGTATGGCTGTCTATGTAAATATTCCGTGAAAAAAGGAAACAAAACACAAATGTAGGACGGATAGATGACATAGATGTGTCCAATTTGAAAAAAAATTTAAATTATCATGTTTAAAATTAGGAAATTCTTTTTCAAAATAATACTCAAACATATTAAAAAAAATTATGAGGAAAACAAAACCAACACTTTTAATGACGTGAAAATATGCGAAAACAATTGTTGCGCTTTTTGGTTCTTGTCTAGTTTTAATGATAACACCAGCTTGTTTAAATACAAATGTCTGGCTGTTATGCACATCATGTATACATTAATTAAAGGTTTTTTCATAGGGTGAAGCTGTTGGGTTTCAGTTTAGGATTTATGTCATTTTTGAACGGCAAAAAACGTCACATCATCCTTTTAGCGCGATAAGCCTCTAGCGCGACATGCGCGACTTGACTTTCCATAGTATTTCAATTTTCGACGCATAACAGTAAATTTGTTTAGAGCTACAACCGAACATTTGAAATTGGCAATATTGTTTCGTTGTTGTTTACCCAAAAGAAAAAGACTTGTCTAGAGCAAAAAGTCAAGGCTACCTCTGCGGGAGGATTTCGCGACACTTCGAGAGTCATTTACAACCGGCATTCAAGAGCTTTTTTTTCAATAATCCTGATGCAAAATGAAATGCACCCTTATTCCTCCTGAATCGACGCATTTTAGGAACAAATGGACAATGAACTGATAAAGTTTGGACTTCCATCGAATTCTTTCACGCACACTGTTTTGAATCGCTCGGATTAAAAGCAAAACAGTGAAAATGCACATGAAAAAGAAAACCAATCATTTTAAGGACGAGTTTTCCCACTTCGGCATAATCCTTATCGATAAAGCTTAGAATTAAACGGATTACATCAGATATATTTTCTATAAATTCCTTTAACATTTACCTGCGAAGCGCAGCAAAGGTATCTTTCTCGGGGCAATTCAAATCCACTTTCCTCGTCAAGTTAGACAACTAGATCTCCTTTCTGAGCAGACGCTAAGAAACCAGTTGAAAGCTGAATTTTGACACGAGCTTTATTACAAGTACGTGTGACAACATGCCACTAAATCAACGCTTGAATGACACTTTGCGACAATTTTTGTCCCTAAAATAATGAATAACCAGAAGAAAGTTGAATAAATGGATTGTTCTTCCGTTGGTAGACTTCAAATTGTCAACTTTTTTAAAAACACAGACAAAGAGACGACAGAAAATGACGTTTCTTAGTGCACCTGCCTTAGTCGTCCTGTCGTGTTGCATTGTGTTCACAAGACACAAACTGGGGAACAGCAATTTAGGTTTTAAAAATTTAGATTTCATGCAAATTTTGTCAATTTGTGAAGACTTTTCAATCGCAATTAACAAAAAGAGGAGTCAAACAAGCCAAAGCATAGTCCTGTCTTGTCGCCACGGTTGACAATAATGTACAATTTTTCTTCCTTTGCTTCCGGATTTTTTAATTTTCCTCCTACGGCTAGTTTGTTTTGGAAAATAAGTGATAAATAGCTGCAAGGAGCTTCTGGGCGCACGAATTCTACATTCTACTCATTTTGCAGCTGGGAATACTGATTACTCATCGTGGTTTCTCAGTCTGAATATATGTCCATAATCCACATTTACTTCCACAAAGATATCCCCCACTGGCTTAGTAACACAACAACGATACCCGAGTAAAATGCACGTCTTTGCCTAGAGCAGTTATCTCAGTACAAAAGATCGCTTTAAAGCGATCATCCTATCTATCATTCCATTTCCTGATACATCCCTAATTTTGATGTTGTCGAAAGGTAATTGATTTGCCAGGGGAAAGTGAGAGGACAGGGGAGAGGGGTAAAGGCTGACTAGTTACCTTGTTAGCTTTGTAACACTCCAAGCAGGGCAGCTTTTGCAGGTACAAATACTTCACATGAAAAAAGGCAGGAAGGAAAAGTGGTGAGATGAATTACGTTGCTTTGTTGAAGACAGAGTGCATACGAAAGGCAAAGTGATCACAGTGACAAATTAAACCATAAAGAAATAAAGAGCTTATAATACATGTGTGGACAGCCTCAACTTGAACTCGGGAAACTTCAGTAATCCCCCCCGTAAACGTAACTGGTTTTGTATTGGCTCCGGGATGGTCAGAATTTACTGAACAATCTCAGAGCATAGTGAAGCAAAACCAGCACAATTCCGGTTTACTCGACTAAAAGTTTTCAACTCAACTTAAAACTGATCAAGGCGTGCTCATTTTGAACGCTAGGGCCGTAGATTTTCATCTCCAGTTTTCCATGCGTGATAAACTCCTTCATGTACTGCTCATCCTCTAGAAGCAAAATCAAGGTATATAAGTTCTGAGATTAGTCTGTGTTAAACTTCGGCATTCCAACCAACTTCGTTCTGTTTTAATTTCGTCTACGCTAACAAGATTCCATTCTCATGAAAGGCCATTTTCAATGAGCCTGAAAATGACGCTCAAGATGTAATTTCAATTCTCAGCTCTGTTTGCCAAACATTTCTTACACTTTAGGCGGTGAAAAATAGTGATTAATCAAACAATGTCCCCTCATTAATATTTTTCTTTCTTTTCATCGCCTGTCTGCTTGAAAATGTATGGATATTGAAAAGAAATTTCTTTTTGGTCACTCTTGGTAGTAAAAGGATTATCTTGGCATAAACACTGGTGTGACCAGCTGTGAATCAGAAACATAAACAACAACAACAACAACAACCACAAAGGTTATCCTCTCCCAATAGCTCGTTGTTTTTATTAGGTTCAGTTTGAAAACTGCTGTTCAATGGAGTGTCGTAAAACCAAAACCATAGTAACTCCAGTGACCAATCAGAACAAAGAAAAAAAGCGCGGGAAAACGTGGGTGACAGTCACTATAGATTTTACTTTTACAACATCTGATTGGTTGAGAGGGAAGAGCGAATTTTTTTTTTAATCACATAGATTAGCGAAGCAAAACGACACTCGGTTAAAAATTGCTGTAGCTGATTACAGCAGGTCTGTATTTCGAAAGAAAGACTTCTGCAGAGGGCGTGTCGCTCCAGGGTATATCCTGAAGGCAGAGGGGTTGGTGGAAGGGAAGGGGGTTAAACGATAATGTTAGACCCTCTCAAACCAGTTCGTACCTACGCCCTTTTAAACTATGCTCTTGCTTTTCGTTAGTTGTCTTGAAATATTTCCAAACCGTTGTTTCCGAAGTATTAAGCGATGAAATAAAACCGCTACAAATACTCGCATCTTTTCGTGTGTAAGGATCAGCATCAAAGACCGAGCTTTAAACTTTTGGACCCTTGCTGTCTGATTTTAAAAACATTGACTAGTGCGCGTCTGTCATAAATTAACTTTGCGTTTTTTCTTTTTCTTTCGTTCGGCTTCTTCGGCTAGTCTCTTTTGCAGTGCTTCACGTCTCTCTAGTTCCATATCCTGCCAAGAAATTTTAAATCAGAGATACACGTCCAATTGCTGACAATACTCAGTCTAATGGTTCGTAGGTGTGTGTGTATGTGTGTGCGTATGTGTGTGCGTGTGTGTGCGTGTGCGTACGTACGTGTGTGTGTGCGCGTGCGTGCGTATGCGTGCGTGTCCGTGTGTGTATGTGTCCGTGTGTGTGCGTGTGGGTGTACGTGTGTGTGTATGTGGGGGTATTGGGCTCCGTAGTATACTATTAGAGATAATACAAAACGAGTTAAACCATTATCCAAAGAAGAGTCAAACAGCTAGTACTACTACATAGACTAATTGATGCCAGTAAGTCTTACACTCCCGCTAAACCATGACTGTTGGAGCTTATCAGGCAGGTAAGCTCTGTGTTTGGCACCAGAATCCCATTCAAGGGGAGTGGTTAAATAGTTGAGCTGCTTCATACTTGGACAATCATAAGAAACTTTGACCGTCAATTCGGCCGACATACAGGTACGTCACAAACACAACTATTCTGTTCATATTATTACCTTAGAAGGGGAATCTGAGAGCGATGACATCCCAGACGACTTTGCTGGTGACGTGACGGGTGTTTTCCTAGGAGATACCCTTGGGGATGTGGTAAAGGGTTCATCTTCCTTTCCAAACAGGGACGGTGGGGGTAAGTCAGTCCATGAAGGGGCACTAGGACCCCCTACAGCAACTGATCCGTAGATATCATCCACATCTTCAACATCTTCCTCGGGCTCTGTTACAGTGCATGGAGAAAGGCAACGATTGGAAAATTTTCTTGTAAAATTACATCCAGTTTAACAGCCCACTGTCAAGTAACTTAAGAATCGTTTATCTAGTTTTCGCCACGTTAAACATGCTGTCAGAAGCTGAGAAATAAGAGAGGACCTACAAAGGGCTACGTTTGCGTTAATTCTATCCCAAACTTTTAAAAACTTGGTTGACGTCATTTATTTAAATTCAACCACTCGTCATACAGTCAAAAATTTCTCTAAAAGGCCTTAACAGTGGGCCACAGTGTGGCCAGGGGGTGATCCTAGGGAGGGGGGGTTGCATGCTGCCCTCTGATGAAATAACCTAACAGCCTATCATATTGCATGAGGCCTGATGTTTTAGGATTGTCATGTATTGTGTAGTTAGTCTTGCAACATTCCTTGCAAACTACCTCTCAAATCTACCTTAGCCCTTTGACTCCATAAGAGTAACTAACATCTTATTTCTCCTTTGCATATCCACCCTGAATCACACATTAAGGTCATGAGAATAAAGGAAATGATCACAAACTGAAGAAGCTCTTGATTGTTAAACAAATTCTCCTTGTCAGCACCTTAGGAAATGTGTACAGATCAGTAAGGAGAATATGCATACTGATGTTAGGGTGTAAAGGGTTAATGGTCTCCCCATCATATTCTCGGGGCAAGGCTCAGCTGGAAAAGCCAAGGCACATTCAGAGGAAGGCAGTGCACAATTGAAAACTAAAGTGGAGGAATTTAAGCCATGGAAAGACTGAGGCTTAACACACTTTACAAAATGTGCTAATGTTACGGTGTAAAGGGTTAAAAGATCACTATCACAATGTAGCCAACAACAGTAACTATAAGATAATTTGTCACCTGGTAGATCTTTCTCTGCTAGCCATGCTGTTTTTATCATAACCTGTTTATACAGTTCAGATGCATCATTATCAAGTCCTTGTGTAACTGCATCTTGTACAGCATCCTCAAAACCCTAAGGGCCAGTCATTTAAACAAAGTTTAGCTGTTGTTTAACAAAAGTACACTCTATGCTATCTTGAATTTAGCTGAATCTTTCATCTGAACATTGTGAACAGTGTCAAGAGGGCCGAAAGCTAACAGTGGATGGTACGGCCCACTGCTTGCATTAAACCATGTATATATAACTGGCCCTAACAAACCAGGCCATGTGAACAAAATAAAAAATTCAACAGAAAGCAGATATTTTAGTTTGAAATCAGATGGCTGTCATGAAGACCACAGAAAAGATCTTCTTTTATCCTTACAAAAACAATGTTTCTCAGTCAAAGTGATCCATTTTCACAGTGCCTTAAATGGCTTTCATAATTTTGAAGTGACAGACTTTAAACTGTCAGTTTAATCATAAAAGAGTTGCTACCTTGGATTTTAATTTAAAAATAGAATCAGGTTGAAAATGAAAAGAAAGATGCAATGCTTACTAGAGGACATGATTAAAGTAAAAGAAAAATCTTAGTAACTGACAACAGAGGAAATATGACAAAAAAAAAGCTAAAATAATAATATTAACTTCTATAAACCATCAAATATTTTCACTTGTACACAGTTTGTCTAAACACATTACATGACCAATATTCCCTAGCTAAAACTCAGGAATATCCATGGATATACCCTGAGTGACATTCCCCAATTTTGAAACCTTACATCCACTATGATAAGTCTTCATTTAAAATTTAATTTCAAGTTGAGATAGCATTTTTTATTTGTCAGAGAAGAAGAAACATGTTTGTTTGTTCATTAAGTCCTACCAGAGAGCACTGAAAAGTGAACATCCCATGCAGCAAACAGTAGAAAGCTGTTCATAACATTTTTCCTGTGTGCTGCAAAATATTTGAAGGATAACAAACACAATAGGCTCCGCTTAACACGAAAATATGCTTGCATGTTTGTCCTTGGACATTATCTGTTCCTTGAAGCTCACAGTTTTCCTCAAGCTTTGGTCTTGGAAAAATTGTGTGCATCATGGAACAAATAATGTCCACACACAAATATCCATGCACATTTTCATCCAAAATGGAGGCTACTGTTTCTATACACTTTCTTCGACCATGACTGTCTTACATAACACATGCATCCCGCAAAGGAAATAATAACTATGTCTGCTTCAGTCAGCAAATAATTTAGTTGGGGACAAAAGCAATAATATTATAATCAGTTCAGTAGCATAAGCTGTACATACCTGTGAGAGAAACATTTTACTTTTGAATGTATCTTCATTGAACTCAGGTGTTGCAAGGCTTTCTAATGCAATAAAGAGAATATAATGCCTGTTGAAACTGGACTGAAAATCACATAACCTGTAGGATTTTAAACAGTCTTGTTTCAGTGTTTAGCACAGTTCAAATCCTGCATTAGCTGCATTAAATAATATGTAGATGCTTGTTTAAAAATAGCTTCTTTATTCCTTTCACTCCTGTGATCCAAACAGCAATTTTCTGGACCTGTAGTGTCATGCATTTGTTAATTTTACTCTGATATTTTCTTGTTGTTTATTCTTTTAATCACACAATATTTGCCAGTTCATATCTTTCCTTAAAAATCACCTTTATGACTATTTCTCAAAGGTCCTGGTAACTTTACAGGCCTGTTAAGCTATTCTGTTTTCATTCAAGATGGGGTTTCAAAACAATTTGAAAATTTAACAATAAATTTATCAGCTGAGAAACAAAATGGACTGGTTAGAACTGGTGCCCGAACCTGCACCTCTATTCTTAAAATTTTGATTTGAAGATATAGCTTCTGGCTCTTTAAGTTAACAGGACTTTTGAGAAATGGATCCCAGGTATTGTAAGAAAAAAATTCCTTACAATACCTGGGAAAAACAGTCACAAACAACATCATTGTACAAACTCCAATAGGAAAATCTAGAATTGTAGAATTTCAGTATATCTATAGTTGAGAAGAAAGTTATAAAACTGCCTCCCAGTTAGCTAAATGGATAGAGCGCTGGACTGTTGTGCGGGAGGTCAAGGGTTCGAGCCCCGGCCAGACCAACACTCAAGGTCATAAAATAATTGAGAAGAATATGCTTCCTTTCTATAACATCAAGAAATGGTTAGATATTCTAGTCTTCTCGGATAGGGACGAATCAATGGAGGTCCCGTCTCCTGCAGGGTTAGGGGTGGGAGACATTAATTTCCCACGTAAGAGATTACTATGTGATGGATGTCCTTCCCTGAGGTGGGATGGGTGGGTTGGGATTGGTTTAGGCCGGTGAACCTAGTAAGGGACTACGTGTCCTATTGTTCTTCCACAGTAAATCTTACTTATTATTACACGACACGGGCAGTCAGAGGGCCAATAACTAAAATCAACCAATCAAAATGCTCTATTGCCGGTCCAATATTCTCTCAGTATTGGACCGGGCACTGTCCCGAATGGTCCCGAATGATACCGCACTTGTGTCCCTTTGAACTTCAGTCGTATAATAAATCTCTTATTAACCAAGCTTGCTCGGGACCGTACTGGAAGAATATCGGCCCTCAGTCTTTTTTGTACGGACCTCGCTGCGCTCGGTCCGTACTGTCAAGACCTCGGGCCGATATTCTCCCAGTGCGGCCCTCGCGCTTGGTTAATAAGATATATGTACATCATTCTTACTTCTTGACAAACATGCCCCTGAGTCTTTGTAATCCATGATCTCCTGATCCTTCTTCTTCAGTAACTTACAGAGCTCTCCCTGCCATCTGTTTAACTCGGCAATCATGGCAAGCATTGGCTGGACTAGCTGTGATCCAACCTTTGAAATATAAAAATTATACAAGCTGTTGCAACCCTACAACTGTTACTCAAAGGAGTGATGAGTACAAATTCTCCTTAAAATTTTAATTAACTATCAAAAAGACAGATTTTTCCTATTGTCACCCATAACTGCAATGGCATAAACTTGGTTTTTAAAGTCTTCAAAGCAGGTTTTTTGTGGAAGCCACCAAAGTAAGCAGGAAAGGTGAGGATGGTTTTCCTAACTTTTTCCTGTCTTTAACTTTTTCCAACTACACCACTCGTTTCAATGACACGGTTGCTTGATGCTTCATGCCAGGAGTTTAACTTCTCCTGGACATTAAATAAGCCTAATATTTTCTATTTATTATGGTAAAGATGTTTTTTCTAATTCTGAATTTGCATAACATGAATTCAAAGAAAAAATATTTTGTCAGTTTTATGTTAGGTTTGAATTTACACTTGAATGGAAGGCAGATGATGTCAATCCTCTGCTAGAAAATCAACTGTTTTAATTTTCAGAGGTTGGCTCAGCTGGAAGCTATGAAAATCTTCACTAATCCAATTTTCTTGCTATGTCCTCCAATATATAGAATTCTACCCTCCCAAAGGCTTTGCAACACTAAACACAGTAGGGACCTTACGCAATCAGGACGGCAATGCCAAGGAAGACTTCCATTAAAAAATGAATTTCTACTCTTAGTTAGAATTTCAAAAATGGTTGCAGGAGCTTACTAGCTGTCTTATACGGCGCCACACCTCAACTTCAGCATGACGTATAAAAGTAGCGTCGAGTTCCAAATGGAAATTAAAATAATTTGCTGTCACAGTTTTGGTTCGCAGACAACACAAATTTTGGCAATTTCACGTTGTTGTTTTGCATCGGACAGCTAAGAAATGTACAAAGTTTCAAAACGCACATGCTGAGCTATTGTTCTGCCGATTAGATCTCTTGTTTTTCCACGTCCTCATTGCTGTCGCCGTTGTGGTTGCATAAGGTCCCTTGCAACTCCTAGAAGTGATTGACATGTAACTTCTCATGGCAATTCCAATACATTACCTTCAAAGATGCCTCCTGTGGAAATCTAAAACCTGGCTATTTTTTCTTATGCCACCACTGCATCAACTCAATAGCATCCCCCACCTACTAAAAAATTGATGCCCCCCCCACCAATCAAATCAATCTCCCTTCCCAATAAAACAAGGAAAGCTTCCATTTAGTTTCTGTCAATATATGGTTGCATAAAAAATGCTTTGAGAAACAGCAAGAAGAGTAAACCTGGGGAATTATGATGTAAGCCTACAGTAGAGCAAAGACTTTGAAAGCCTGTTCACTTTTATCTCGGGGGGGATTTTGTGAGTCCCACTGAATCATCCTTTCTTACCATGCGCTTTTCTCCTTCTGAACAGTGGAATTCCCACATAAATGGTACACCCCCCTGTAACTTTGTCTTCATTCTCAAAACCAGTTCATCTTCAGTTGTGGACCCCTGTCAATAAAACATACCACTAATGATTTCACCCGTGTTCTAATTATACTTATAGGAAAAAACATATCTAGCAGAGGAACATCCACCATATGGTTCTCTGTCAACTTATTTTAAGTCTCACTGACATATCACATTCTGGTTTCTTTGAGGAGGAAGGAACCCTTGTAGCAAGAATTAGGAACTGCAATAAACTCAACCCATTTGTGACAGCAGGGCAGAAAATCAAACCTGGCATACGGTGACCCTGCATGGGATGAAAGGTGTCAAGTGATTTCATCACTGAGCCATCCCTGATGTTTTGCACATTTGCAGAATGGACAGGACTCCAGAATAGGTTACACATTTTGTAACAATGACTGTGTTGTTGGCCTTCTAGCTTCTTCAACCCAGTTCCATGTTAAATGGTTACTTGGTAGTGAATCCAAAGAACAATCCAACTAAATCATGTCTACTATTTTTACTCTGTAAATATATTGTATCCTGCTAATTACACTACCTTGCTATTAAGGACAGTATTTAAACCACTGGGCTAAATTACAATGAAGGTGAACTTCCTCTGATACTCAGGGATTTCATTAATTTTGGAAGTAGGTGTATATTAGGACATAAGTAGGCAGAAGACAGTTAGGCGGTGATCAAGGCAGATTTGTCACCAGTCTTTCTCTTCTGTCCATCCAACATGACGCAGAGCAAACCAATCATGTTGTTGATTGAATTGTTGGAACTTGTTACAAAGATCACCCAACAACCAAAAGGGAGACAAAATATCAACAACAAAAAACACCTTTATTGATGACTGCATTTAGAATATATTGAATGTTTTCCAAAAGCACACAAAAACTGGGAAGTGGAATGGCCAAAGTAGCTGGCTCCATTGAGGAGAGTAGCTGCCAGAATTCACTGGTTGCCAGCTTCTAATAGATCCCTGGATACTAGGCTTCCACCACAATGCCCAAGAAAGTGTGGACACTACTTTTGGTCTCACAGAAACATCTTAAGTTTATAATGAGAGATAATATATGCTTGTCACAAGTAGGGGTTTCTAAAAAAAATGTAGGACTATTTTGGATGAGTTCAAAATTTATTTTCTTTCCTATTCTAATACTGAAATATTTCAGGCAATCACAGTTTTCTGCATTTCATAGTACAGGGCAGGCATGTAGGGGAGGGGTGGGGGTGGGTCTTTTATTGGGGTTTTATCACAATAGCTTTATTTGCTCACCTGATTGATTATAAGTAATGTTTCTTCCTTTTCATTGGGTTTCACAATATTTTTCTCCACAAACTTCAGCAAAAATGAGAGTTTTGCTTCAACATTTGGATTAAGTTCCTGCAAAAAATAACCACAAGCACATACTTAGGTACATTTGGGATTTTTATAGAATTCCATCTGCAGGTGCCGAAAGCGTAAGCCTTGAAGGGGCAAACAAATGGAAATTCACAAGGGGCGAAGGATGGGGAGGGGTGGGGATGAAGTACCTCAATAGGAGGGTGAAGTACCTCTAGAGGGGGGTGAAGCACCTCTAAAGGGGGGGTGAAGCACCTCTAGAGGAGAGGGTGAAGCACCTCTAGAATATTAAAACAAAATCAAACACCTCCAGGCAGCTGCATGTAGGTGTGAATCTTTGGTGGAAAATCTCCCTCTAAGAATAATCATTGTGTTACAGACTTGTATAGTCGTATATAAGAACGATCCTTCGCAGTAAAGCACTATTTGAGCAATAGTGGAAATCAGACCTGAAAAAAATTTCAGGCCTGTACGGGATTCGAACCACTGACCTCTGCGATACTAGTGCAGCGCTCTACCAATTGAGCTAACAAGCCAACTGGGAGCAGGCCATCAAATTAATTCGATATAAACCCGTAGATGATAAATCGAACAACAACAAACATATGAAACATATGAGTGAACTGCGGTTATGAGACGTATATAAGAACGATCCTTCGCAGTAAAGCACTATTTGAGCAATAGTGGAAATCAGACCTGAAAAAAATTTCAGGCCTGTACGGGATTCGAACCACTGACCTCTGCGATACTAGTGCAGCGCTCTACCAATTGAGCTAACAAGCCAACTGGGAGCAGGCCATCAAATTAATTCGATATAAACCCGTAGATGATAAATCGAACAACAACAAACATATGAAACATATGAGTGAACTGCGGTTATGAGACGTATATAAGAACGATCCTTCGCAGTAAAGCACTTCGCAGTAAAGCACTGATTTCCACTATTGCTCAAATAGTGCTTTACTGCGAAGGATCGTTCTTATATACGTCTCATAACCGCAGTTCACTCATATGTTTCATATGTTTGTTGTTGTTCGATTTATCATCTACGGGTTTATATCGAATTAATTTGATGGCCTGCTCCCAGTTGGCTTGTTAGCTCAATTGGTAGAGCGCTGCACTAGTATCGCAGAGGTCAGTGGTTCGAATCCCGTACAGGCCTGAAATTTTTTTCAGGTCTGATTTCCACTATTGCTCAAATAGTGCTTTACTGCGAAGGATCGTTCTTATATACGTCTCATAACCGCAGTTCACTCATATGTTTCATATGTTTGTTGTTGTTCGATTTATCATCTACGGGTTTATATCGAATTAATTTGATGGCCTGCTCCCAGTTGGCTTGTTAGCTCAATTGGTAGAGCGCTGCACTAGTATCGCAGAGGTCAGTGGTTCGAATCCCGTACAGGCCTGAAATTTTTTTCAGGTCTGATTTCCACTATTGCTCAAATAGTGCTTTACTGCGAAGGATCGTTCTTATATACGTCTCATAACCGCAGTTCACTCATATGTTTCATATGTTTGTTGTTGTTCGATTTATCATCTACGGGTTTATATCGAATTAATTTGATGGCCTGCTCCCAGTTGGCTTGTTAGCTCAATTGGTAGAGCGCTGCACTAGTATCGCAGAGGTCAGTGGTTCGAATCCCGTACAGGCCTGAAATTTTTTTCAGGTCTGATTTCCACTATTGCTCAAATAGTGCTTTACTGCGAAGGATCGTTCTTATATACGTCTCATAACCGCAGTTCACTCATATGTTTCATATGTTTGTTGTTGTTCGATTTATCATCTACGGGTTTATATCGAATTAATTTGATTCTGCCTGCCAGCTAAAAGCTTCACTGCTTGTGTAGACGTCAATTTTTAAAAGTCGTAACTGTAGATCAGGCCTGAAATTTTTTTCAGGTCTGATTTCCACTATTGCTCAAATAGTGCTTTACTGCGAAGGATCGTTCTTATATACGTCTCATAACCGCAGTTCACTCATATGTTTCATATGTTTGTTGTTGTTCGATTTATCATCTACGGGTTTATATCGAATTAATTTGATGGCCTGCTCCCAGTTGGCTTGTTAGCTCAATTGGTAGAGCGCTGCACTAGTATCGCAGAGGTCAGTGGTTCGAATCCCGTACAGGCCTGAAATTTTTTTCAGGTCTGATTTCCACTATTGCTCAAATAGTGCTTTACTGCGAAGGATCGTTCTTATATACGTCTCATAACCGCAGTTCACTCATATGTTTCATATGTTTGTTGTTGTTAGACTTGTATAGTGTTACAGCATGACATCTCACGGGAGGCATGAGTAATCCAGTGGTCAGTGCGCTGGACTCTAGGTCAGATGGCCCAGGTTCAAGTCCTGGCTGGGGCTAGAAGTTGTGTCCTTAAGCAAGACGCTTCACTCACATTGCTTCGTCTCTCGGATAGGACGTAAAGCCGGAGGTCCCGTCTCCTGCACCTATCAATTAGTTAATTTCGGCAGGGGACGTTAAAGAACCCACGTCACAAGATTACTGTGATGTGGTCTGGCCTGTTTACTGGGAATAGGGGGAGGGGGCATCTGTAAAAATTTCTCCTTTATTAATTGTAAACTGCCGCCGGCAGTCTGGAAAAGTCCCCCCCACAGTGTTTTAAGGCGCATCAAAGCATTTACATGGAAATGCGCTATAGAAATTGATCTATATTATTATTTATATTACATCGGGTTATGGGAAACTTGACATTTGCAATCAAGTGACTTAAGCATTTTTTTTTCTTTCTGTTCTGAAATATATCTTTCTGTGTGGTTGATGTTAATTGATGTCAGAACCTTAGGACCTTTTGACTCTTTCAAGAACCAGCAAGTTATGCCCTATAAAACTTTACCTTCTCTCATACACTGACTAGACAGATCAGGGCTCAACACCAACTTTTCAACGTGAAAGTATAGTTTCTTTCCGAGAACTATAAGGGACTGGACCTGTTTATCACCTGGAACTAGATCACTTAATACTTCAGCTTTTTGCAGTACAAAATTTTTCTAAGTTTAAGCATAGCTATATTGTTAATTACATATTTTATTTGTTTATTATTTTTATTAGCTATGTTTATATTTTTATATTTTTATTCTTTTATCTCTTCCTGATGTGCAATAGCGTTGAAGAGTAATAAAGTAGATGTAGATGTAGATGTGACATCTCAGATTTTACGATAACTTCAGTTTGTTGAGCCCTGCATATACATCTCAGTTGTTTATCTACGTCCTGAAAACATTGCAGTCATTAATTGTAAGAGTAAAATCCAACAATACCCCCTTATTACTGATCGAAACATGAATCTAAAGCCACATACAAGTACTATTACCTTAGCTCTAGCTCTAAATTTATCTTGCTCGACTTTTTCGTACCAAAAAGTGCTGAAATCCCACAAGCATAATTCATAGGAGCAGTCCACCTCAACAAACATGGACTTCAATAAAAATGATTTTCCAGAAATGGAAACGTGTTTCCATGGTTGGGAGTTTAGATTCGGTTTCCAGCGTCGTCTCCACGAAATTTCTTTCGAAGCCGCCATATTGTTTTGAGAGCTATTTTTGTCATGTATTACTACACATATTGTCCCGAGGGTTTCAAAGTTTCGTTCTCAGTCTCTTTGCGGTTTATTTGAGACCAAGACCACCCCTGTCGTAATGCGGAATGAAACAGTGCAAAACTTTTCAAATTAAGGGGGGGGGATCTCAAGATTCTGTGTGAGGCAATTTCCTCAGTATGACTATGTTCGGACGCTGGTGTCTCATTTCGTCCATTTTCAAGAAGTCCTAGGTGGTTCAAAATTTCTTCTTTCTCACTTGGCGGGCTAAGATTCTGGCTAACTCCCAGTTTCCTTGTATAACAATATTTTGTGGCCAAAAAAAAGAAATGAAATATATATAGAATTATATATATATATATATATATATATATATATATGCATGAAGGTAAAAAGGTATACGGTGAAGAATTTTTACAGGCAAGAGATTTTTAAACCTCTTTAATCCGCTTTTTGTAAAGTGTTTCAGAAGAAAGGTTAAAACCTTTCTTCTGAAACACTGTATAAAAAGCGGACTACTGTCAGCATTTGGCGGGAACATTAAAGTAGAAGGAAAACGGCTTAACGCAATCACAAACAAAGGAAATGTGCTCTTTCTATATGAACATCTGCTTTTGACCAAATAGACAACCTGAATATTTGCCGCGTCAGATAAGAAAAAATCTGCTCACGCGATGGGAATTTAAAACCCAGCTCCAGCACATTTACAAAGCACTGGATTTAACAGTCATAACATGCCACCTGAACAGCTTGTGTGACAGATGAACAGGAAATCTTTGTGAATTACCACGTGGCACCATGTGGCAATCACCTGGTCACGCGGTCACTGAGTCACGAGAGCGTTGTTTAAGCAATTTCAAGAAATCATCATCACAAGGAAATAAAAGAAAGGAAATTTATCAAACATTTTTACTGATCGTGACATAGAGAAGCGTTCCAATTTCGGGCCAAACTGAGGCTGTGGGATGAAATATGGCAAAATTTATCTTTTTCGTTCACTGGCTCGTTTTCAAATTCTTTTCGAGATGTCACATCCACCAAGTTCTACATTTTCTTTTTTTAATGTAAAACTTTTTGCGGTTGTTGTGGGGGTAATTTTTGCACGAGACTGTTTATGGTTTAGTCACTGACCCCAATCCAAAAACTTACATGCACTGTGTAGCGTGAACAAGTCACAACTTTTTATTATCACACATGTAATGCTGTAGCTAAGCTCTTAAAAGCAGATAATTCATATTGTACAGGCATTTTACAGTGGTTTTTTGAAATTCCCTCTGATTGACATAATACCTCTAAGAAGAAAAACTCTCTCGTTGAAAATCCAGTTTAGATCATCGTATGATGTAAGCTCCGGTATATTTACAAGGGGGAGAGCGCTCAACTCGTACCCAGGCTCTCACTAGGGTTAAACGTTAGTCGTAACACGGCCAAAACATTTTGCCAATAGGCGTAAAACTTGACAAATTTTTACCGTTACTCGTAAAAAATGTTTTTTAATCTCAAAGGAAGGAAGTCAACCGTTAGCCGGAAAACGGCCAAAATTTTAACCGTTAGCCGTGAAAGCCTTCACCTCCGTGTAGCTCTCCGCACTATCCTTACCAAATCTCAGTGATTATATCCAATAGAACAGAATAGAACCTTCTATACCTTGATACGAGAGGTTCAGTTCCTGGCCCTAAAACCATGCTTATCACTATTACTACACCTTCTTAACGGTGAAGTATAGTTTAAGCATCACAGGTGCAAAGTTTCATAAATTCAAGATTTCAGGGTGATTTAGGTTAAGTGGTTTAAAATCGTTACGGTAGACAAGCCAGACAACAAAGTGTCGCATCAAACTTTTTTTAGCCTGCGTAAACGTGACTGCACAGACCAGAAAGGGCAGAAAACAACTGACTTTTTCCTTCTGAATAATAGATATTTCGTGTACGACGCGTCCTTGTACATGCTGTGGGCAGATCGACTTACTCCCCATGCGTGCTAAGCTAACCACAGTTTATAGTCTGTCCACCCACATAAATCAGTGGTCCTAAAACTTTTCATAATTGCACGAGATACATTCTCTGGGTTCATCGCATTTATTCAACTTTACGAGTGGGTTGACTGTACCCTGCTGGTTGTGCTAAGGCCATCTATGAAGACCGAATGATGCCTTTTAACAGAAGCACAATGAAATGAGGAATGAAATAAGTCAGTGCTTCCTTGAAAATTAAGGGAATTGATGAATGTGTAGTTTAATTCGAGTTTTACACATAAAATGCAAACGATAGAAAAGCAGGAATAGAGAAAAGAAAATTTTAGATATAGAAAGGGAATATCGAACGAGATATATTCTTGATTCACCTTTATTGCAAATGAACCTTGGAGAGTAGATTAGTATATTTTTATTTACACATTTTTTCATTACCGTGGGAGCAGATCCATCTACTTTCTTTTAGACCTCAGAGAAATTGAATGTTTAACTATAATTTTAAATGTCGAAAAGAATTGAAGGATGTACTTTCATTTGTCGGACTGTGTTGGCGGAAAAGGAAATATTCCATGTGGAGTTCTGCTTGCTTGAGAGTTCAACAACTTTTAAATGTGAATTAATTTCGCTGGCCCCTAAGCTAGGTTTTCTTCTGGTAGACCTACATTTTAAAATGTTTTAAGGGATTTAAGGAAGAAATCATACTCCGTTGAGCCTAAGTCTGGTGGAAAGGAACTCAGTAAATTTGATTTGAAATGTAAGCCAAATCTCGTAATCTCTATTTGTTTTGGTAGCTAATCGTTTTAAACGGCGCCGACATAAGCGGAAAAGTTCGTCAACATTCGAGATACGAGGTCAGCAAAAAGAACAGGGATATATCACTAAATTTTCTTTTAGTTTTATGGAGACTTTTAGTTTTAGAGAGGGTGGTCAATTACTTCTGGAAACCCTGAAATACGCCATTTTCTGACAAAGGGCACTCTTGAACACAAATTGTGACTAGCTCTTTCCACTTTTAAAATCCGTCGGTATTCGAAATTTAAACGACAATGGAAAATACGACGAAAAGCCGTATTTTAAGTGGTATTAAGGTATTTCATTCAAATGAGACCCGCTCGTAATTTAAAATTCTTATCAACAACTGCCTCCTCTCTATCAAATTTGATGTCAGAGGTTTTAAAAGTAACAAAAACCTTAAGACTTCCTGCCTTAAGACGGAGAGAGAGAGTGATATATACCCCATACTACTAATCTTTTATCCCAAAACTCCCACGCTAAAGCGGCATCTTCAGATCATTTCAGGAGTAAAGCGGATTTGTAAGATCCATTGTTTGACAAAACAAATTTGCCTGGTGTCTCGCGTCCCAAGCATATGCTTGTTTTACTTCTTCTCGTCTCGTCCAATATCTTGCCGAAATCATGTGATAGTAAGCTCTCTTAGATGCATGCGGACTAACGGGCAACCGTTTTTTCGTTAGAGTTTGCTCGCTTGACAGCATCTTTACTAGTTGATCTCTAATTGAAAGTTTAAGATACATAAACCGCCGGTCAGAAAAGGCCCATTTCGTTTTCTTTCGATCAAAATCACCATAAGCTGCAAAACGTCATCATCAGTTAATTACATCGTCAGGAACAAACTGTTTTTAATCCTCTTATTGAATTCACGTCTTTTTGCCCGCAGCGTTTAAAATGAAAAACGCTTAGCAATACAAACATTTTCAAAAACAGACTGAGATGGTTGACCGAAACGAACTTAATAATAAGCAAGCTTTTAACAGAGACACAGCCTATGTTCTTTTTTGTTTCTTTATCTTTCGGTAATCGAAAGGGCTTACAGATGACTAGTCATGATTAAGAAAACATTTTGTTGCATTCATTTTCCCCTGTATCATATCTATCAGTTACAAAACTAAGTGCTTAAGAAGAGAAACAATACATATTACTTCTGTGTATGATTTTGATCCGATTTAGGGTTTCCTTAACAGCTGTGAAACCTGGGGAAGTAACTGCCTGATCGTCAAATGTTTCGGACAGAAAAAAAAAGTTGATAGTTCAAGATCTTTTGGTGCAATGTCTCTTTGAGCTGACAGACAGTCAGTTTGGGTCGGCCCCAGTCAAGGCGGAAAATCATGATTTGTGCGTCTTAAAAAAGTGTTCAGTCAACAGAAGGTCGGTCGCCGATTTAATATGCACAACAGACCATAATATACAATTTTTATCTGACCCTAAACAGAAACACCAAATATGTCTTAACTTTGAAATTCGACTGGCAGGTTCGGCATAAAAAGACTCAACCATAGACTAAAGAACTATGTAGATAATCAATGTATAACTGTTCTTTTCAGCAAACCAGTAACGAAATTATACGAAAATGTTACGTTCTACACTTCTCATTGCAAATTAATGCAGTTTCAAAACTGTAAAATAGATATTTCGGCACCCATTTGATTCGATTCTTGGAAGTTTAGAAGCAATTGAAAAGCCAGGTGAACTAATTGAATTCATACAGTTCGAAAGAATGCAAATCGTATTACTGAACGACGAAACCCCCAAGTCTTAATTCTCAAGACAGGTTAATTTTAACCAACACAGCCGCCTCCGATGCTCTCAAATGAAGGCAGTGGGATAGAAAGCTATATGAATTCCGAAAGTTATTCTGTTTCTTGAATTAACTGAATTGGTTGTAAGCTCGATAAAAAAATTTAAAGCACTGCTCAACTTCCTCCGTAGTTATTTGACTTGAATTGCGGGGAAATACCTTTTGTTTGGTTTATTTTTTAATAGAAAACCATTCCTTTAGTTTGTCGGTAGTTGGTTATCCTTTCCGTGAGCTAAAACGATTATCTTGAACGAGTTTTGTTCCAAAGTGTTAAGTGAAGGTGCGTGGGGGTGGTAAAAAAAAATTGATTTTTCAAAAAGCATGACCCATCATGTAAACATAACTTCAAAGGTCGATTTGCTTTATTAGTTACCACATTGTAACTATTTTATGGTTTGAAACAGATCTAAAAAATTAAATCAACAGGAAATATATGGGTGTAACACTATTAAAAGACCGTGTTTCAACAAAGTTTTCTTTTCGGATAATTGCTAGTTTATCAACTGCTTGTAGCTACCCGCTGTCGCCATCTCAAGTGATCGAACCCTGCAGACTACTTTGTAATTAAGTGAGTGGTTTCTCACACGCACTCAATTTTTGCAAATGAATTTAACTAAAACAACGGGCTCAGTATTCAGTTAATGCGTTAGAGAGGGTTTAAAAATAGAGTCGTTTTTAATTTACCGCAATTAACGCCTTTCCTCCCTGCTGTTTGCGCTCTGTTTCGTCGCGTGAAACCTGGCGAAGCGGCACTCACCGCAAAAATTGACACCCTCTTGAACGAGTGTCGTATGTCGCACGAACCCAGACATGTTTCTGTTTTATCACTTGTAGATCTCTAAGCGACCGCAAAATCTGTTTACGTTCTAAACCACTTAACACCTTAAATGCAAAGTCAAAAGATTCTTCAAATACCAAGTCGCTTAGCGCATCTCGAACACAACTTGTACAGGAAATAATTCACTAAGAAAGATGCAAAGAACAATTAACTTTTGATTATCGTCGCAATTTGACTGTTTTTAGAAACATTTTTGTTTGACGGGATGTTTTGAGCTCGAGCCCTGCTTGAGGGATAAAATTGAGCGAGATGCCTGGAAATGCAGTGAAGTTTTGTGTTTTACATCACTTTTTAGAGAAGTCGATAATCCAATTATCAGAGGGTGTGATCTTTCGTTAAACACAGCTGTTACTCAATTAAGGTTTGAATGGGGAGCCATGCCCTTATAAGATTTACTTCAATTTTTCAGCTCTGTTGCAGTTTTGTGAAGATTGAATACTAGATTCGTTAATTTTGTGTAAATTTTCTTTGTTCTCTTTCAAAAGTCCCATTCAAATTATGTCAAAATACGGAAAAAACTGTGCACGTAAAAAGAACATAAATCAAACAATCACGCCCCTGAGTCCGCCCAGGGCGAGCCCTCGTTGACAGCGCGTGGCTAATTGCAAGGACGTGCTAACATTTCTTTTCAACAGCGCGGCTAAATTTATCCCCGTAATTAACATCGAAATGTTCTGCAACAGCGTTGGAAAGGCCCTTGCCAAATTAACTAGTTTTCTTTGCTTCAGTTATGTTTGTGTTTGTTCTATTACTTCTTGCGAACAGAAGAAAAGTTCCAGCACCAACAAAAGGATCGGTTTTAATTTAGTTTCTTAATTTCCAAATTACGACAGATCGGTCTTGAACCAGAGAAGATGCCAATTAGTGACAAGAAAAAACGGAGTTAAGAGAAACAAGGGATACAAACCACAATCAATATTTACGTTGGAACATATTTTAATGTCGCTCCAGAATCATGCTTTTGCACTTAAGTTTTCCTAAATAACACTCTTTTCACAGCTCAAAGCGGAAACTCTGTTTTGAGAGTCACCATTAACCGAGTTTGTACCAAGAGCAACCTTAAGAGGGCCTTTGCCAGGCGACTAATAAAACAAACTTTCGTGAACTGAGCCTCAAAAGAATTTGACCTACAAAATGAGGCAAGATTCCTTCGTATATAAGGAAGAAATGTCCCACAGATGCGTTCAATTTGAGCATATAAGCAAGTTGGAAAACCTTGCTTTCAAATAAAATCTCTTTAAAAGCGGATTTTGCTGTATGCGGGTCATTTATCGCTAAACACTCTAATGCCATAAAAAGGCTATAAAGAATAAAGCTAAACACTCTCAGACATGTTAGAGAATTACCAGAATCCTCTTGACAGACCGAGATGTGTTCAGCCTATCATTACCTCGTCTAGATATTTGACCCTCTCTATAAATGTGGTTCTTGGTTTACCTTATAAGTTAACTTACTTCTAGACTTTTTACATCAGTTTTTATAGTTAACTTTTATGGTCCTCCAACTGCGGTTTGTTACAACTATACAAAAGTGCATTACGTTAAGTACAAAGAGATATTTACTTCGCATTACATAGCTCGTTTCATCGTAAAACAAATCACATTTCTGTTATATTACGCGATAATTTGGTTGATAATTCTCTTAATATTTTGAGTTCATTCTTTAACAAAAAGTAAAGTTCTGAATGTACACGGATACCTGCCGTTTATACAATGTCTTACAAAACTACATATAATTGTACAATATAGACACATAAATAGTTAATTTAATTTAATTTATCTCTCGAGGTGCCCTACGTTTTTTTTGCGCTAAATTACACTTATAGCGCAGAAATACTCTCTGGTTATCATAATAAAAACATCTCCAAGAACAAGTCTGTTATTTCGCCAAACGCAAACAAGCATTAGATTTACGAAAACATTGTTTTTGTCCTAAATATTTCACAAAAATATAATGAAAATATTTTTATCATAAAGAAAAAACTTTAAATGAATACTGACTTCACAACCAGATCAGTCAATCACACAATCGTACCTTTTTATCAGTGTTCGTTCCGATAGAAGCGGCAATCAAGAAAAATACTTTTAGTGCATATTTTTTTGCGTTCTCAAGCAGAAACATGACACCACAAAAGCAAAGTACAGTCATACGAAAGTCAGAGAAGTTGTAGCAGGGCAGCCACGCTGAGGAAAGACAGAAAATTCTACCTCTCCTCTTTCACGAGTAACATCAATTTATGTATCGCATTTACGAGAAATCATAGAGGCCCAATGCGGCATTGATTTTCATTAGCAGTCCTGGATACCAATGCATTCCTTCTTGAATTGAAATGTCCATGCTCCAGAGGTTCGACGCAAAACTGTGTACAACTCTCAGAGGACTGAACACCATGTGCGCAATCTCGTGGTCGGTTATCATGGCATAGCAAGAACACAGAACACCATCAACAATAACATTACCTTGCATGGTTACGGGAGCTACCATGCCAGTTCGTTTGACAATAGAAACTTTTCTCACCAACGATGAGACAAGTTTGCCTTGTGATGAAACTTGTAAAAACTCGCCAGGTAACACTTTTCCAGCTTGTTTAGATTTTAGCTGACTCTCCGAGGAATTGCTCGTAGTGAAAATAAGGTGCGAAGGTGTAAGTGTTATTTGTTTCGCGGGATTTTCAGTCTCGATCAAAACGTGCGAAGCATGAGGTATGTCGGGTTTATAATCTGCAAACATAACTATTTCACTGTAACCAATTTTTCCTTCTTCTGTCATAACCTGTACAATGTCACCTATTTGCACATTTCGGACTGGCAAATCAGCGCCGTTTTTCATTTTAACTGTTGAGTCAGAGCTGAAACATCCTTCCCAACCATCATCTTTGTAGCCATCTGCAAAACAATAACAAGGATGCCATTCAACTTCTTCCGACCTCTAGTGGATAACCGTCGAGGCCGCTTATAAACCAACCAGTAAATCACTGTTTTGACTTTTGCAAAGCAACACGAAGATGCAAGTTTGTTTTGGTGAAAGGTGGGTTTTCGCAGGAAGGGGCCAAAGAAAAAATCTGCCATTGATGGCCGGAAAAACTCAGGAAATCCCTTTGTATTTCTAAAATTGCATTTGCGTGTTACCTCAGGGGCGGTGCAAAAACTATTACCCCAGCTAACCAAAGCAGCACCTGCATGGGCTTAATGCAAAACTTGACAACAAGTTTGGCGCGCTAAAATCTAAAATTGACCGAGCCCTATCAGTGCGTATTTGTACAAATAACGCAGCATTCTCGCGCGTAATGGAAATGTTGGTATCCCAAAAATCATTAACTTAAGCTCTTTTGAATTAGATTAACAGTATATTTACCTTCACGGACGGAGGCGTGTATGTGTGTACGTTTCTGGTAGTAAACCCAATCAAAACCAGCGTCAACAGCTAGTCGCCCCAGAAAACCGATTTTAGTCTTATCCTTGTCGGACAAGCGCAGATCGACTGCCCTTCCTTCATAATGCAGTGAATTCTCCGAATGCTGCTGTTGCTCATCCCATGCTTCCGTGACGACAAGTTTTACTGAAGGCCATTGTTGTTTTACCAGAGTCGCCAACATGGTTAATTTCTCTTTGCATCTCTAATGAAAAAAATTGTCAACAACGGTCATGTTCGCGCGATGTTTTTTGAGGATGTTTGTCGTAAATTTATGAATGAATGAAAATCGCGTACGAACTATCTAGTTTACATAAGACTCGCAAGAAGCGACACGCTGTGCAATTGAAGAGATTTAACGCAAGATAGAAAATGTAAACAAACGAAAGATGTGCTACCTTCGACATTAAGCGATCTGCTCCGGTCCCTTCTTCGTCTTTGAATATTATGGCATTGTTGTAGCAGGGCTCAAGTTTTTCAAACTCAGGAGAGTTTCTCGTTATCTTTCCTTTTGATGGTCCGCTGGCCTGCTGACTATTCTCTGGAGTGTCTGGCACGTACTGTGACAGCATCAAAGGTTTCCTTGGGCCTCTTTTGTCCAACGTATTTCTGGAACCGCATGAAAGTGTGAACCTCAACTGTACCAAAACCAGCAGAAATATGAGAAAAGTGAAACGGATGAGAAACGAGGCAGTCGCAATTTCCATGTCACTCAAAGTCCGCCAATCGTGAGTTTCTTCGAAATATGCCTGGGGCTAAATGTTATGTCTCGAGGAAGAAATTTTAACGACGACTTTTCTTGCCACGATGTCCTCGTTTCCTCAACGACATGTTACTGACAGAAACGCTTCGTGTTCAGCTTTTAGATGCGTGACGAAGACACTGCTTGCCTCTGATTGGTTCTCTTTTGATCTGACAGGTATCTCGTGCGTCGTTTATTCGCTGGGCGTGTAAAAAATTGAATGATTTCCTGACTTATTCCTACACCTGCCACATTTCGGTTTTCTTCTTGTCCGAAAAAATGCTTCAGTTTTCGATCTAAAGGCATCTCAAAAATTTTATCACCCGAGCATTTCCTTTGCTAATGTGTCGGGACTCTCAAAATGCGAGAGGTTAACTACCACTTTGGCTTTGAATCTGCTAAAACTGCTAAAACTAATGAGTTGGTAATTTGCGGGTGCATTGAAGTTCTTTTTTCAACCAATCAACACAAAAAATTTAATTATTACTGTACAGACTTCAGATTCCTGTCAACATTGCTTTCTGAAATTAAATGAAGCAATCTCATATTGCAAGAAATACACTTCATTGTCCACTGGTGAGGAAGGATTGTCTAAACATCAGCTAGACTATTTGTTTTGTTTTTTTTCTTCTCGGTTTCAAATTGGAAATGTCAGCCAATTTAGGATGACTTTCTTCACGTATGCAGTAAAAACAAGCACGCAGAAAAATGTCCTTTAGGTGTGTCTCGCAAGCAATTCACATTACATCTGCAAGCTGTGCAACTTAAGTAGGAATGCGATCCCTTGTGAATATAAAAACTAGTGCCAGAGTAATTTATTGTTAGGCAAAACAACATGTCAGTTACATGTTTGCTGAAAGGAAGGCTTGAAATCCTTATTTCATTCAAATGACTTTCTTTCATCTCATGTCATTTATATCGTTTTGGTATCCATAGAGTTTAGTGCAAACAAAGGAAAACCCTGCTCATTTAATTAAACTTTATTAACTTTGCAAGTAGACAAAAGACAAATAGAGCACACTTCTTTCTTGCGGCATCTCTTTAGAGTTTTTCAGTCCAGCATTCTCGCTCATAGAGTTTCCGTGATTTTTCACCACATGTTTAGTTCAATATTTGTAGCTTTCATTTTTATACCATGTAGGTTTCCTGTCGTAATCGTTGCAAATTTGTTTTATATTATCGATATTCCGATATACACCCATCAATCACGGAATCGCACCAATTTAGCGAGAAATTCACAAAACGTTCTCCCAATTGGACAGCTTTTTCAGAACGACGCCAGAAAAATGAAAACATATCTGACGTTAAATGAAATCGTCGTTGGGAGATCTTGTGGTGCACGGAGCCATGTGTGGCAATTGAAACAGGATTCGACGAAATTTACTCGAGACGATTCCAAATACGTATGTTCTGGCGAAACAAAGTCATACGGTATACACTTACAAGTAATATCTATGACATAGCAAATTTGAAGTCACTGTTGTCTTTTGTAGAACAGTTCCTATCAGTTATTGTTTTATTAGATGGTCTCTGCGGTAATCTTTAGATTCATTGTCTTCAAATCAATTACCCACCGTCGAAGTAATTTTTTCCATCCACGCCTCGAGGGCTCAAAAGTGCAAGCGAAACACGGGCTTATCACACCCATTTGCTTCCACAGAGCTGTGTAGAATTTAAAAGATAGCGATCTTTTTATACTCTTTTTTTTTTATTTATGGCACTTAAGCTATTCAAATGTAGATTGCTTCATTAAAATATTTTCCTACCGTGCGGGGATCAAAGGAGACGTCGGCTGGAGCATTTAGCCGCGCTTTTGAAGCACGCTTTTTTTTTTTTTTAAACAAAGCCATTTATTAGTTACAATGTTCCTCACGTATGTACCAAATAACAAAACACAAAATCATAAGAAGGAAACAGGGTCAGTTTGTATGGGTGATTTTCAAGTTATTTTGCACCAGCTGAGGTTTTTGATAGAGTTTACCTAAATTGACCAAATAGATGTTCCTATTTGTCGTTGTCTTTTAATTATTCCACAAAGCACGTGAGACCCCCAGACTGAACCGTGCTCCGACTTCCGGAATTAAAATTGGGGCTCTGCAGTCCTTTTGAAAACGTTCATACCTTAATCCCGTATTTTATCATTCCCCGAGGCTGTTCCAATCTCTTTTTTTGGCCGTGAAAAAGCGAGCGCTCTAATTGCGTCGTGTTATTTAAATAGCCAATTCCGGCTGACAAAATTGTTTGTTCTCTTTCGTCTATCCCAGAAGCGGAGGCGTGTCTAGTACTAATTGCTGGAACGAAAGCGAGTATGAAGATTAATTAGAGTGATTATCGAGACGAGCTTTTAGCGCGTCAACTTTACATGTGAACTGCCCCGGCGTTAATTGCTCCGGGGTGCCTGAGCTGAGCGATGAGTTTGTTTACAGGAAATGCCAAAATCGCCTTATTTGGAGAGGTCTTTTCGGACGCCCTCTCTTTACTGCACCGACCATTCTCTTCAAAGTTGTTGCCTTTGCTGGCAAGAAACTGATAAATAAACGATATGATAAGTGGGTAAATGATAGTGAGCGAAGTCGAAGACAGCTTCCTATCGGCAATAGGAGAACTGTGACCAAGGAAAACCATTCAACTTGGTCAGTTCCACTGCCCAAGCTGTAGATCGAAACAAATTTTTCGGTTTCAGTAAATGATATTCCCGTTTCTTACTCATGCTATTCACACACTAAAAAAATGAGGCTCAGTTTTTTCTTTTCGCGTAAAAAAATGATCAAAAGTAAATGGTTAAATATCATCGCCTTAGCTTAATCTAACTTAAGGTCTTTTCCGTCAGTTACTATATCAAACAAAATCAACCGATTGCTTACTTTCGGGTTTAACGAAACAAAGAAGGAATTCAAATTGAAAAGAAAGTCATTTTCGGTTTAATCCTATGTTGCTAAAGTACTGATAGAGGACACTTTTAAGTACAGACTCTCAGAGAACTTGAATACTATCCAAGTCTAAGCTGAATACTTTCCGCGTTTAAACTATTTAAACTTCCAAACTATGCAAAGGCACGCTTCTAGAGTTAGCTTCATCTCTCCAGCTTTTTTTTTCCATCAAGCAGTTTGAAATTATGTCCCAGACAAAGTAAATTGACCGTAACTTCAACTTCTACCTTTTTCTTTCCTGAGAAAGGTACTGCAAATTCTAACCTGTTTTGTCTGAACATTAGAAAATAAAAAATGGCTTTCATCAATGAATTCTTTCAGCGTCTCAGAAGGCATATTTTCAACTTCCAATGGTAACATAGTTTCGTTATACTTATCATAAACCAATGCGAAAGTGACAGGAAGTCTTAAAAATTCGATATAAAATTCTATAATTTTACACCCCTGAAATATACAAATACTTCTGCCCTCAGACAAATGAACGATGACGCTGATATATTTCCTCGAATCCCAACCTTAAAAATGTTATCACTTCCTGCTTCTTTAAATCCTTACTCGCTGTGTCACAAGACCTTTTTTAGTAGTTCGGCAATCATACTCACAATAATTATTGCCGATGGACAAAGAGCTGAAATCTGCACATGAATAATCGTACCCCTCAATAGTACAACTCACATTATCGACCAGAATTAAACCCTTTGTATGTTTTTTTTTTTTTTTAATTTGTGAATCTGAATTCTTACATGTCGGGAAAATTTCTCGATTCCAAGACACCCACGCCACTTATACCCTGATTGTCATCAAACCTTCCACAAGATAAATCAAACCTCAAGGTATATAAGATAAAAACTTTGTTTTGAAATTCTGGGATTTTCTTGAGAAATCACGGCCTTACTCTACTAATTAATTGAAGTTATTCTGGATACAGAGACTCAACGGAGCCTGGTCTATCAACTGTTTGCTCTAAATTTAGAAGCACACACCGTTTTTTTAAAAATAAACATGGGCAAGTTCTTCCTTCCTTCCAGGAAGAAGAAAGAACGAAAGGATCTCATTGAGAGATGAAAAGTATTTGACTAGAAGTCTTGAGCAAACTCAGCTTCGTAAAGGGTTATTCAAACAGACATGGACCTAAATCAAAAGCATTGCTACTATTAAGGAAAAACACAGCTCATCTATTAATAATGCTTGCGCCTCTAAAAATAATTCTGTCATAAGACCTTGCAACCACGGTGATCGATAAGACAATGTTCTGACTATTTTTCGAGGATCGAACGCTTAAACTTCAACGGCAAGGACATTATTTCTTTGATGTGCAAGAAAACATTTCCAAAACAAATCTGATAGTACTAGTAGAGGCAAATCAACACACCGCAGCATGTTCGTGCGCGTATAGTTTCTTCAAAGGCCAGAGACATTACGACTGTAAAGAACTTATTAATGATTAAACGCATTTCCCCTCTGCAGCGAAATTTCTTGAAAATTCACTCTTTACGATGATAGCTGTGAATTCGTCAGGTCTAAGTTTAAATCTTACTAACATTTCCTTGTTGTATTCATATTTGATGAAACTTTGCCGGAAAACTTACTTTTGGTCAGTGTTTTAAATTGCTAAAAGTGACACACTTTTGAATTTTTAAAAACGATCAAACTGCATTTTTAAAATATCAAAACTTGTCACCACGCACTGATATCCTCAAGGTCAACAGTACTTTATTTGCTTTTCCTTTGCCACCGTTTTAGAATTATTCATAAAAAAATCGATTGCTTTGTCTATTAATAAGTAAAATGATTTTTAACTTTGGATAGGCTTTATCGAAAAATCTGTTATGGTGGTTTTTACAACGATCAGCTATCTTATCAACCCAAGTGGAATTCAAGCTGAGAAGGCGTTTCTTTTGGTTCGAGGAAAATAAAAACATCGTCGCACATCTTTTCACTCAAAGGTAAAACAGATTGTGAAGTTAGACTAGCTGAAACTCTTAAATTTGGAGATTAATTCACACTTTTCATTTTTCACCGGTTAATTTTAAACATCGCTCGACTGAATTTAAATATAAGAAGGTAATATCCCTCATACAGTTGAGTGAAAATTCTACCGGAATCAGATGTCCTTGGCTGAAAATGTTACACTTTTTTTTCACTTTTTCCGAACCCTAATGGCGTCTTTACAGTAAAGAATGGTAAGAGTTTTCGTGCAGCATGTAGAGTACCATTTGATAGCACCAACGCAAATCATAATTGAACAAAACGTGTAGGCTTTAATTTGTAACCATTGATAAAGCTGATTAATTCTTCAAGAGCAGGTCTGTAGATCCCTCCACTTGGTAAAACATGTTTGACATGACACTAGAAAGCACTGAACTATTCAGAAAGGAATGACTTTCTCTCCTCACTCACAGAGCTAAACACTTTTTTCGTTTTTTCTCAGTTTCAGTTCTTAAAAACAATAAATTAAAAGCAAACTACAACGCAGTTCATATACCAAAAGGCAATCCAGCATTTATTTGTCAACACCGTTTGCCCCTTACAAGCGTCAGTAGTTATTGTACCCAGTGGATTTGGACGAGACAAATAGGTAACTCTTTCATAAGAAGGCACACTTTGGTATAGACAGCTACCTTTACGCCCACTGGGCATCATAAGGGACCAGATATCAATTTGCGCGTTATGTTTATCTCTCACCTCGCTAAATTTACCGAACGGAGGCCAAAAGTTGGAGAGCGCTGAAAGAACCATTATGCAATTTAATCGGAATGCTGATTGATTCTACTCCGAATGCAAGTTTACGCAATCGTTTCGCATTTTTACTAGCTTGCATTAAACGTTGGAAGACTCTGCCTCGCTACTAAGTCGTCTGTCAACATTTTTTCTCAATTTGTCACTCAATTACAGCAGATAAACTCTTTCATTTCAAGGCGTTAAACTTTCTTCAGTCTGGCCCTATTAACCTTCCCATTATGATACCGTACGCAAGGATGTTGACACTCCTTGAAAAACTTGTAATCACTCAGACAGTTATCATCCTAAAGGGGAGACAGCTCAATCTTCACTTGCAGCACTTGAAAGATACAAACCATTAATTACTTTACAACACTGTTTATTATAAATAAGATAATTCGCTTTTAACTGTTCTTGTGTTTTTGTAAATCAATGCTTTCTTCAAAAGTTTGTCTGTTTGAAAACAATAGCATCGTTTGTCTAAATCGCTTTGGACGTCCACAAATGTACATCACAAAGCCTCTTGGTGTGACTCTGAAAAACAAGCAACGTTTCTGTCATTCAAGATAATTTCCTGACGAAGGATTTTGCCATAAGTTCGGCATTCAAAGAACGAAAGGTTTGACGTCATAATCAAAGGTGTTAAAAGGTTTTTAACACAGACAAATTTTTTACTCACACACACTTTCAAGATCCGCGCGCGATAAAGCAAAGATTTCTGGTTTACCATGGCACACGCAAGTTGAGAGGATATGAAAATATTTCGGAAATAAAAATATTTTCACTTAATGAAAGAAAGGCGAGGTGGTGACAACTGCCAAGAAAGGTGTTAATTGCATTTTTGTCTCAAAGGCTGTCTAATACACCCATGACGAACGCGCGTTCATCTTGTCGCGAAAAGCACCGGAAATCCGTTTACATTCGAGAGACAAAGAACCAATTTTATCTTAATTAAGAGATGTCGCTGCGAAATCCTATAAACATTCCTAAGCGGGCGATGTCGCTTATTGTTGTATTCACCCAAACAATTTTCAGATAAGAGGGAAACCAGATTATTTTGTCCTCATCTTGGATCTCTATTAATGTGCCAACTGAATAAGACTCTCCTCTCTCTTTCGACCAGCTTTTCCATACAATGCAAAGTAAAGAGCACATGCTAGGATTATAAACTGTTACATCTCAGAAGACAAGCTGAGGGGTTGTCACCAATTCAGTGATATCTAAACTATTAGGCAAACTTAAACACGGAGCTTCAATCACTTATTTCTTACCAGCCTTCATTTATCTTCATTTCAGTGTTCCACTGAGTGTTTCAATATTTCAGTGTTTCCGAAAGAAACCAAATTTAGATGTTAATGTGGCGAGGGACTGTATGCGTAGATGTATTCGGTTCGCATGGGAACTGTAAAAACTCTGATCTTGTAAAATAAAAACAAAAGCAATTAAAAGAAAAACAATTAACTTGAGTAACTAATTAGACGGCAACGTAGAAAATGTGAACACGACGCAGACATGATAGAGTTCAAGGTGAAAGCCATGATACGATCATGATAAACTTTTTCGGCTTGTTTTGGGTCTCTTCAGCAGGGTATAGCTGCACGGAAGAGAGATCAGAAGGGAAGACTATTGTCTTCTAAATACAAACAGCTATGACCACTCATTTAGCATAAGATTGTTTACCACATTGGTTGCTTTTTGTCTTGCTGTTCTAACGTGCAGACAACTGAGACCAGCAAGGTGGAATTAGCTCTCCACGGTCAAACCTTTTGCTTTGAGTATCAAACCTTTCATGTCGTTGAAGTGTCAAGTTCTATACACAGAATCAACCCGGGTGATTTTCATGTAGATTAAAGGTAGCTTCATAAGACGATGCAATGTGGCCTACGACTTGCACATGCGGTTGTAGCGTTCAGCCACCCAGCAGTTTTCTTAGCTCAGTTTTTTTAGGCTGTTTGGACACCATATACAAATAATGAAATGGAAACGTAAGAAAGTTTCTAAACCAGGGATTTGAGTTTTTGAGAGGAAAGAGAAAGCCAGCTCACTTGTGATAACTAATGTGAAAGGGACACTTTGGAAATTTTGCAAGGCGGAAATTAGAAAATATCACTTAGACAAGCTGAGATCCAGCAAGTTTAGTGGCAAAGTTCACAAACAAAATCAAGGTGTCGTCTTAAAAGTCGCAGATAACTAGATTACGAGATTTTCAAATTGAAGTACCAAGACGGAGACAAGCTATAACCTTCAAAATTTCTTTACCTTCTAGTTTGCCTCAGGGCATTCTACCTCTCTCGTACAAGATAACGGGAGGCGTTTTAGTTTTCAGCAAAAGTTGACAATAACTTAACATCTTCTTTCTTAGGAGCAAGGGACTTAAAGGGAACTGAGACAGGAAAGAACTGATAAAAACCTTCAGGATTACGGAATGGAGTACGGAATGAACGCAGCGCGCAAAATTCTGCCGGGCAGGTATGCTTATAGTCATAAAGCACAACAGCTGGTTGAAAACAAGCAAACATATGAGTAGAAAATATCACGACCAGTCCGAGCAATAATAAAACTAAGATGTACCAAAAATAGTGCGTCAAAAACGCACCAATAACAGTGCGCCAAAACAAAACCAATAACAGCTCGTCAAAAAACGAACCAATAACAGTGCTTAAAAAAAGCACCAATGACAGCGCGCTAGAATCGCGCCAATGAGGGAAATGTGCTTTAGATAGCTACGCTTCATCATTCTACCCTATTGCATGAAAAAGATTGTTGCAAAAGCTAGGGGGGAGTTGCGACTAACAATTGACATTGGATTTGTGACTTGCGGGACTAACGCAATCTTTTTCTCATTTAAATGAGCTCAAGGGC